TTACAAATAAAACTGTGGCTCAAAGAAATTAAGTAACTTAAGGTTTCCAGCTAGTAAGTGGTGGAGGCTGAGTTTGAACCCTGGTTGGTCTGACCATTTGTGACCTTAAATATAAAGAGATTTCACAGGGCTTTATTGAGTATGTTGGCCACACTGCAGCCAGCATGGCCTGTCCTTGTACAAAGTCTGAGCTTTTTAACCACTCCACTTTTATACTGCCTTTTTGACAAGTCACTTCAGCTCTGACTTCATGTCAAGTGAGGTTAAGATAACTTCCCACTTATTCATGAACTCAAGAGGATCCTATTTGTGCTATTCAGTAGGGTAACTATTTGCATTCTGGGCTAGGTGATATTTCATCATGTGGACCTGAAGCATCGCAGCAGGTCTAAGCATCTCAGACTGGGCACTAAATGCCAGCTGCACAACCCACCCCCTTCGCTGAGAACTAAAGATGCTCCTATGGGAAATGCCACATGCCCCCTAGGAGGATGGGACTGGCCCAAGGTTAGAACAACTGAATGTGAAAATAGAAGACACTAATATTAAGTGTGGTTTGGCCCTGCATATCTATAGGTTCTGCATCCTTGGAGTCAACCAACCACAGGTCAAAAATATTCAAAAAAACTGGGCTGTACTGAACCTTTACAGACTTTTCTTGTCATTACTTCCTGAACAATACAGTGTAACTACATATCATTTACATTGTGTTAGGTATTATAAGTAGTCCAGAGATGATTTAAAGTACCTGGGAGGATTGCATAGGTTGTAGGCAAATACTGCACCATTTTATATCAGGGACTTGAGCATCCTCAGATTTTGGAATCCAAGGGAGGTCCTGGATCCACCAATCCTCTGTGGATACCGAGGGACGACTGTATATCCTTCCCTATCCAGACAGTGTCAAACCCATGTCTTTTCTTATTTGAATGTTGCATCAACCACTCCAAGAATATAAATTCTGTTTTGCCTGAAAGGGCTCCACCACTTACTCGCTGGGTGACCTTGAACAAAGTAGCTAAATTAGTAGTAGGCCTTAGTGCCTTCTGCAAGTATTCCTTCCTCAGCTTCCCCCGACTCCTCTCCCTGTCCCCTCTCTTCTCCACAGCTCGGAGAACATGGTGAGATCATTGCCTAACTTACCTGCTCCAAGGTTAGGAAACAAAGATGTGTAAAGAAATGAAGTCAGTGGGGAGGAGTGGAGTCCCAGCTTCAGGGTAATTATTATCTTTGATGGTGCAACTGTAGAGGTAGTTGCTTGTCCCCTGGCAGGAAATGTAGGCAGCTTTCCAATTTTGTAATGGAGAATTTTTCTTCACATTGGGGCTTAAAACTGTTTGCTTTTACTAAATGTGAAATATGTCTTGGCTCTTTTAGAATGTCTTGTTTATTAAGACCCCTAAGGGGAATTGATAGAAGCTAGTTCCATTAAACTCATAACATTATTTACAGCAAATAAAATCAACTCAGGTTCTGTCCTCTGAAAGTTTATTCTACAAATTTAAAAAAATCTCGAAATATTATCTTTTCATAATTTTGATGGTGTTTTATCCACTTTGAGATTGTTTCAGAGCCCTGAGCCACTAGACAAGGTTAAAACTAGGGAAGCAGAAATCAGGTTTTAGACACTGCAAGGTGGCAACTTGCCATGCAACAGCCTGAGCCTCCAAATTCTATCTCATTTCTTTGGTTCCTGAATTTTATTGTGTAAAGTGAAAACCAACGTCCCTTCTCCCTACTATGGCCTGGGATGGGAACTAAGGCTTCACCTCTATCCAGGTGTCTTACTTCTTGAGGCCAGAATTATAGTGCTTGGGGGAGGGGTGTCAGAGCTCTCACGCTATCCATTCTAATCAGTGCCTCTGCCCCTGCCAGGAGGAATACCAACCTATTCCTCCAAATCCCAGATTTCTCCTAATCCACTGATTTTGGCTTCTTTTGCCTTTAGATTTTTATACTCCTAACACTCCATGAACTTCATGCTGGCAAGAGATTGTCTTGTATAAGAAGCAGCTGAATGAACGTGCCTTCCCTGCTGGTAAGGGCCATCTGCCACCCCTGGAAAATCTCACTTTTCTCTTCCGTTAGTCCTGGCGCTCGGCACCAACCCAGGAAATCATTGTAGAATGAATAAGTGAATGCATTCATGAATGCAGAACGTCTTTACTGTGACTGGTGACAAAACATCCAAAGAGAAAGGGGAAAAGGGGAAAACAAACACATTCGCCCACAGAATTGAAGCTCACTTTCCAAATTTTTTAGCAACCCTTAGTAAAAATCACAACTCAAAAAAATATGAACTGAGTCCAAAGCAGCTCTAGTGAGAAACACAACTTGCTGTTTAGGTTCCTGGATACCATTGTCCAGCCCTTTGCACAACTTGCTGTGTAGCTCTGTAGTCATAGAACTGCTTCTCTGCCCTTCCACGACCCTGCGTTTCACACCCAGAGGTCTCGCCACATCCCCCAGCCCTTCAGCTTTTGTTGTTTTCTCCTTGTATCAGGCCCCTCTCTGGTCCCAGAAGCAAACACATGGCCCAACCGATCCCTGGATTGTGAATGAACAGTACGACAAAGCAAGACGACACCAAATGAGGCTTTGCAGTCCCCAAACCCAGCAGCAACTGAGAAAGGCTTGTTTCCTTGTCAGGGAGCAGAGTGCTCACCCCACACCCCAAAGGAACTGCTTGGTCCAGAAGATGGAGAAGATGAGCAACAGAGTGACACTGAGGATTACAGCCATCAGGTAGGCAAAGATCCGGAACTGGGGGTTGTGGAAACACTCCCTCAGAGAGTAGTGGCTGGAGATAGGGATGGGCATAGGCACAGTGACAGGGACTGTGTCCTGGGGGTGCCCAGCCTGGCTCCCAGGCTCAGGGCCCAGGTCCAGTGTGTAGACCCGGGGCTGGCGCAGGAAGTAGCGGCTCTTGGGCTGGTCCTTGAGACAGAGCTGACGGCCTTCCAGGATGACGTGGTGTGGCTCCAGGCGGAGCAGGGTGAGCATGGCAGTGTCTGTGGGCAAGTCAGTGACGGGCTGCCCCGAGGCCAGCACAGTGGGCTGGCGACAGAGTGGGCACAGCAAGTGGCGCCGGGCGGGAGTCACCAGGCTGAGGTGGGCCAGGCATTCCACGCAGAAGGAGTGGCAGCAGTCCAGCACTTTGGGGGTGTGGAACGTGTTGTTGAAGGGGTTCCAGCAGACAGGGCACTCAGCCTCGAGCTGCCGGCCCTGCTGCTCCGCCATCCTCACCTGAGCGCTGGGGGGCTCACAGGAGATGTCCTGACAGAAAGGGGAAAGGAGCAAAGGAACACCCATTAAGCCCTGTCCCTGTGCCTGGCCTGAGGCTAAGGGTTCTGTGGGTTTTAAAAGGTATTATCACCCACGTTTTGCAGATGAAGAAACTTAGGTTCAAAAGCGCTTCGTTCCACCCAGTTCCTAAGCCATCGCATTAGGTCTAATGCTCCCGCAGCCTCCCCTGTATCAGGGCGAAGGCCTGGGCCACCCCTCCCCACAGCACCTGAGTGAGCTGGCGTTGGAGGGATCTGCACACTGGGCTTTGGAGATAGGTAAAAATGCTCCTTACGCTCGGTGTGTTTGCCCTTGGCTGCCCTGCATTGGGCAGGGGGTGCAGGGGGGTGGTAAGCCACAGTCAGTGGTTTTTGCTAGAGGACAAGTATTTCCTTCCCTACTACCTCAAATCCCTGACGAGCGCAGAGATGGGCTTTGAGAATTCCCTTTTCTGCCCCTCCTCTGGGGACAAATGCCAGGCCCTCTTTCCTTTTCCTCTTGGGCTAGAGGGCCAACCTTCCAGAGCCTGCTCACCCAGTCTTTGGCCTGGCAAGGGGGCCCCTGCTAAGGCTTTCCTCCCTGACCTGGAAGCCCTGGAGAGGCTCCCCTGCCCAGGTCCCCAGATCAGCCCTTCCAGAGCCTCTTCCCGATAATACTCGGCCTCCCCTGGCTCTTCTTCCCTCCCTTTGTCCCAGGAAACCTTCAGGGTACCCACCTTGGTTTCTGTGGGCTCTAGGGTAGTTAGGCAGACTACTCTGAAGGGCCTGAGGCTCCAGTCTCTCCCTCCCCTGAATCCGCAATGCTTTGAGAGACTGCCTTCTCACCACCAACCCTGGGGCCTGTCTCCATGGCAGCGTTGCACGTAGCACCTGGAGCTGCCAGGTGGCCCAGGCTGCAGCCTCTTGAGCACACCTGCCTGGAGCCAAGGCCAGAGCTGCCTGGGTGGTGGGGTGGGGATCTGAGTTCTCCGCCCCCTCCCCCCATCCCCTGGCAGGGCGTGGCAACCCATGGAACCTGGAAGCCAAGTGTTTGCAAGATGATTGGGTGGTCCCCTCAAGACCCAGAATCCCTGGCGTGGTGGAGGGGGACGGCAGTGGGAATAGGGGTGGCAATTTCCTCTTTCTAGATGTGAAGAGGGTAAGTGAGTTTTCTGAGCTTCCTCCCTCCTGGGCCCTCATTTTTTTCCTAAAAATGGCCAGAACCTTCTTCTTGCACAAAAGGGCTGCCACCTTGCACTTCAGTTGCTGTGAAATTCACTTACTGCACAGCCTAAAAGCTCTGAATATCAGATCCAGCAATTCCTCCCCTGTCCCCTGCTGATCTTTAAGCAACTGCTACCAGAGTGTGCAAACCTTGCTGCCTTCTGCTTTGTTCTTAGAATGCAGATGGCCAGCCTGCCCAGATCTTAGAGTCTGAGAGGCCATCCCACCAACCTTGGGGATTTAAGGGGGAAGTTGGGAGAGAGGAGCGGTCCAGCCTGGCTTCACCCAGAAACACTTGGCTTTTATCTGTTCCTCATATTGGTCATTTGAGTTGAGTTGAGCTGCTGGGGGGACAAGATGTTTAAAAATTCTCAGTCAGAACGCCTCACTTTGCAGAAGGGAGACAGTAAGTGACTCACCCAAAGTCACCCAGCTAGTTGATGGTGACACTGGGACCCATGTCTTCGGACTCCCAATCCACCTTCATGCTGCTGTCATAGAGACAGAATGCTGCATCCATGCAGTCCACCCGCTGAATGCGTGTTATTAGCTAGATAGTGAGTGCTCACATTTTATCAGGAATCCCTCGTGGCCATCAGACTCTCGCGGTAGGAGTCCAGGAAGTGTGCAAAGAGGGATTTGGGACAGGGAGGCTCCCTTGGGCCCCTGATATTGCATCATCTACCCTGAGTTGACACCTGAAGCAAAACTTGCTTCTGCTCTTTCGCCAATGGCTTCCTGGTTTTCTTCTAGACCCCTGTTGCTGCTCTGAAGAGGGAAGAAGGAAGTGGAGGCATGTAGAAGGAGATGGAGTATCCTAACCCAAACTAGGCTAGTTTACCGAGGATTCCTACCAATGTCTTATATTCTGTGCCCATTCATCTACCCAGTGGTGACTGAGTGCTTACTGTATGCCAGACTCGGTGCTAGGCATTGGGTAAATGATGGTGAGCAAAATAGATACCATCTTTGTCCTCATGACATTTAGAGTCTAGTGAGGCAGAGAGACGTTTAATGAGTAATGGGCGATAACTAAATACGTAATTTTAAGGGATGCTATAAAGGAGAAAGAGGAAAATGGGCTTAGGGGGCTGAGAGCTTCCAATGAGACCACCAGGGACAGTTTCTCCTGAGAAGGGATATGAGAGCTGAGACTGAAGGATGAAGAATCCAGCCATGCAGAGTGGAGGAAGAACATTGCAGGCCCAGGGGAACAGCCTGTGTCAAAGCCCTGAGATGAGAAAAGCTCTTCCTATTTGAGGAAGTGAAAAGAGGCCAGGATGACAGAGGTGTCGTGGGTGTGGCTGAGTGGGCAAGTGGCTCAGGGTGAACGGGGAGTACGAGGTGGGACCCACAGGCTCAGGAACTCATCTGGATTTTATTCCATGGGTGAGTTGGGGGTCAGGGTGACCTGATCTTATTTCCATTTGAAAAACACCCTTCCAGCTGCAGAGCAGAGGACGGCAGAGGGATGAGAGTGGAAAGGGAGGACCAGGTGGGGGCCCAGGCATGTGACGGTGGTGTCAATGCAGGTCAGGAGGCGCTGGAGAAGATAAAGGGGATGTGGTGGGAGTTATCTCGGGGGACACAATCAAAGCCACTTCCCAAGAAGCCGTGGACTTCTTGGGATCCAGGTTGTACATTCTGGAACCGGGTTGTTGAGGCTCATGACTCCAGATCCACTGCTTCTTAGGGCTGTGATTCCAGTTGAATCGTTTAACCTCTCTGTGCCTCAATTTCTCCATGTGAAAGGAAGCCAGAAGTAGTAGAGCTTTTAGATAGAGCCTGACACCCAGTAAAGAATATACAGTCATGCGTTGCTTAACAATGGGGACACGTTCTGAGAAATTTGTCATTTTAGGCAATTTTATTGTTGTGTGAACATCACAGGGTGCGAACCTAGATGCTATAGCTAACTACACATCTGGGCTGTATGGTATAGCCCATGGCTCTCAGGCTACAAACCTGCACAGCAGGTTACTGTACTGAATGCTGCGGGCAACTGTAACACGAGGGTAGGCATTTGTGTATCTAAACATATCTAACCGTAAAAAAGGTACAGAAAAAATATGGTATTATAATCTTATGGGGGCCTGGCGTGGTGGCTCTCGCCTGTAATCCTAGCACTCTGGGAGGCCGAGGCGAGTGGATCGTTTGAGCTCAGG